AAAAAAAAAAAAAGGAAAAAGGAAAAAAAAAATTTTTTACATAAACCCCCTGATCTTTTTCTAATAATCAGATGTTAATTTGAGTTTAATGCATGGCTTTGAACATCTTAAGTTTATGAACTGGTACCTAAAATATCAAACTGTCCTGCTTTTAAAAAATCACTTTTATCACTATTTAAATCTCTACACAGATTCACCAGGCATGTAAACTCATCTGCAGAAAATGTAAACGTCATGTGACAGATCTAACAGGGCAAGTGGTACAGGAGGGAACCAGGCGCTACAGACTGTGTAATGAGTGTCTTGCAGAATTTGGCATTGACAGCCTCCCCATTGACTTGGAAGCTGAACAACATCTTATGTCCCCATCAGATGGAGATAAGGATTCCAGATGGCACTTGAGTGAAGATGAGAATAGATCCTATGTGGAGATTGTAGAAGATGGGTCTGCTGATCTGGTCATCCAACAGGTAGATGACAGTGAAGAAGAAGACGAAAAAGAAATTAAGCCCAACATTAGGTAGCTGTCATGTGAACCAACAGAGCTGGCATGTCTGCAATTTACATTGGCTTCCTCTCTCTATGGTCAGAATCTAGTTAACAAATTTATCATAGTGACTTTAAAGAAATGACCTGATATAACTTGCATGCTTTCTGAACAGGCCATTGTATCCATTCTGAACTTTGTTGCCCTAAAATGTGTTGCTGCACTGGAAAGAAAGAACTAGCTTGAGTTGGCATGTTGAATGAACAATTATCCGCTGACTTTCATTACAGTCCTCTTACTTTATTACAGAGATCCCCTTTTCTTTTAATATTGGAAGATCTACTTAGCACATTTTTTCAAAGAAATACTTTCAATAAATTCACCACAATCAAACTTTATGTAAAACAATTTCAGGATGTTTCAAAACCACATATACTACCAATGTTGAATTTCACAGGGAACCAGTTAAGAGTACATTTAAGTATCTGGCAACCCACCTGACTAAAGAAATTAGTCTTTCTATTAATTTGAGATCTGAAACAACTTGTCATTACTCTGATATTAAGGATTATGGAAGAAGACTAAAGTGTTTGAAATTGTTCATATTTGAATTTTTGTCATTAGGTTAAAAATGACAAAAGTATTGTTAAAAAAAAAAAAAAAAAAAAAAAAAAAAAAAAAAAA